TGTTAGAATCTCAATGTTGGTTTAATTATTTTATTTATGTTGGATTAATTTTTGCTTTTGTTTGAAACAAATATGTTGGTTTAGCTTGGATTAATCTTTATTTATGTTTGGAACAAATTTGTTGATTTAGTTATTTATGTTAAATTGATTTTTATTTATATTTGGACAATTTATATTTGATTTTATATTTAAAAATTTTGGTTAATTGTACTTAAGTTTTTATACTTTTATTCATTGTAATTAAATATTAATTAATTATATTAAAAAAATTTATAATTTAATATTAATTGACGGGACATAGAGATCCCCACGGGATCCCCATTCTCCACAAAGAACTAAAATGCGGGACAAGGTCTATCTCTTGTAAAAAAATCCATGGGACAAAATCTATCTCTTATAAAAAATTTTCGTAGAGATCCTTATCCTCATCATTCATGAGAATGAGGATAGGAAGGGACTTCCCGACTCTACAAGACCTCGTTGATATCCTAGAGAGAGGGTAAGGGAAACAATGTCCAATTTTTCTTAATTTCTCTTACATTATCTTTTCTCCTTTAGTTTTGTTAAAATTATAAAAGAAAGTAAAGCTCATTATTTTCCCTCTTTATAATTTTCTTTAATTTTTGTTATTCAAATGTAAATATTTATTCCTTTTTTCCTGTATTTTTCTTGTTCTTTTAAACAAACAAATTATATAAACATATTTTAATGATTTCAATACCTTTAACTTGTAATTTGATTTGGAAAACGTATAATTATTCCTCTATTTCTATATTAATGCGTTGAAAGACATAGAGAGGTAACAAGTTTTTCATAATACGCCTTGCATAACAAAATCAATTTTACGGTTGGAAAAGGTAAAAATATCTTTAATAATTTTCTTTTAAGGCATAAATATCTTTAATAAATTATAAATGCATGCATCTGAGCCTCACGGTCCAATAGTCATAAGTCGACTTGTAAGGTGCATCTCCCAACTCAAGAATTAGGATTTGAATCCCCCTTTCCTCATGTTTGTAACCTGTTCAAAAATAAATAAATAAATTATAAATGCATGCACCTAGGCCTCACAGCCCAATAATCATAAGTCGACTTGTAAGGTACATCTTTCAACCCGAGAGTTAGGGTTTGAATCCCCCTTCCCTCATATTTGTAACATGTTCAAAAATAAATAAATAAATTATAAATGCATTGTTGCCCC